GAAATTACCAAACCTCTCCTAATTATATTATGTTTTTAATTAAAAAAAAAAAAAAAACAAATCTATATTTATTTGAATCAAGAATCGTTCATGCAAAATACTTAAAACAATATTCTAAAAAAATAATTGTATAAATATCTGATTATATAGCAGCAGTACTGTGGATGACAATGAAAATACAACAATTACTAGATCAACTTATTCATTATATATTTAAAACTAGTTTTATCTCTTAATACAAAGATTGATAATGTCATCTTATACTACTTTTTATAAACATTAAACAAAGGTTAATTAAAGTCAATTAAAGCTATGTTTATATTTTGATCATTTTAAGCTTATGAAACGACTCTAAGATTTTGATATATATATATATATATATGATTAGCAGAGATAAATATATTTAAGTAATTTGCGCGCAAAAAATTTTTAAAACTGCTCGTATAGTATATAATAATTGCAATTTAACATAATGTTATGAATAAAAAATACGCAGTTGCTTTCGTGTTAATAGCTAGTTTTCTAGACTAGACTATCTATTTTTCAAAGAATCAGACACAGACCGAAAACTAAATTTAATGACAAATGAATAAAAAAATATTCCGGATTTTCGAAAATTTTACTTTTTTTAATTAAAAAAAAAAAAAAAACAAATCTATATTTATTTGAATCAAGAATCGTTCATGCAAAATACTTAAAACAATATTCTAAAAAAATAATTGTATAAATATCTGATTATATAGCAGCAGTACTGTGGATGACAATGAAAATACAACAATTACTAGATCAACTTATTCATTATATATTTAAAACTAGTTTTATCTCTTAATACAAAGATTGATAATGTCATCTTATACTACTTTTTATAAACATTAAACAAAGGTTAATTAAAGTCAATTAAAGCTATGTTTATATTTTGATCATTTTAAGCTTATGAAACGACTCTAAGATTTTCTGATATATATATATATATATGATTAGCAGAGATAAATATATTTAA